CTAATTCCGTACTCCGCTCTCCTGCCGGCTTCCACCTCTTGATGCGTTCGTAGAGTACCCACTGGATAGTTCCCTCAGCAACGCCCAGATAGCTAGCTGACATGCCCCTGTACATTCCTCGTATTCCCTCTTCCTTGATGATGCGAAGCGTCATTTGCAGAGACGTCGCTCCTTTCATCTTGGGAGCAGGTGTGGATTTGAAGTAGACCTTTGAGAGCGGCGCAGCGACACTTCTGCTCGATGACGCTGTAGAGAATGTGGCAGGGGACGAAGCTTGCTGTAGACCTCTGACAGAGGCTTTAGAAGCGCTCGAGGGCGTCACTGCTGCCTTTTTCTGAGACGCGTGCTCCGCGTCCTGAGCGTGAGCTTCCAGCTGCAGTCTCGTCTTGACGACCCAGATCGGGTTGGTCGCTGTAGCAGTGACCATGCCCGCATTTGCCGCAGCTGCCAAATGCACCGCAGCTGTCTCCTTGCCATCGTTCAAATGCTCCGCTATCAACGCCTTGCCGTTCCCATACGTCCAAAAGTTGATGGCTCTGCAACGCGGGTGCCATTTATAGTGACGACCATCAGCATGCCAGCACTCGAATCATCACCATTACACTCTCATCGCCGAGTCATCAGACTCACCTGGCCGGTACAGCTCCAACGAGCGTGGGTCCAAGTCCTCGAAACAGCGCCCTGGGTCCTTCCTTTGTCCAAATCTCGGCCAAGATGTGGCCCGTCTCCACAAAATGGTAGGCCAACTTTCTTCCCTGCGCGACCACTCCGCCAGCTGCGGTGGTGCTGCTGCCGACAATGTTGTGAGCTTTGGTTCGATACAAGTCGGACTGTAGACGAGTCTTGACTACGTCCAAGGGCGACGTCACGATGGCACCGCACATGCCTCCTGCGCCTCCCGCTGCGAAATGTAACCATGCCGGCGGTGCGGCCGCTTTTCGAACAGATCGCAACGAGTTTTCAGTTCGATCAGCGCTGCGATGTGCGATGGAGCGCGAGGCGTCGGCATTGAATGCGGTGGATGTTTGCGTCTCGGATGAGGGAGGTGAGGCCAGCAGGGAGGTGGCGCCTTCTGCGACCGCTGGTCTTCGCGATGGACCGGCTTCTGCGCTCATATTGACGGATGTATGCGCTGCGCGCGGTGTTCTTGGCACTTGTGGCAGAGAGATGTCTCGATCCGTTCAGGCTTTGGAAGAGGCAGGATGCTTGATTCACGAGTTGGGAATTGACAGAGAGTTGCGCAAGCCTTCCATGTGACCTTGCGAGGCGTCTTGTACCTTTCAAGAGCGA